GCCACATAGACGCGCTGCGTGAGCTGGGCCACTGTCTCCAAGACGGCTACGGCGTGAAGCGGAACATCGCCGAGGGGCGGCGGTTTCTCGTCCAAGCCAACGCCCGCGAGCTAGCCAACGTGCTCGCCACCACTCCGTCGGCTCTCCTCAACGGCTCGTGGCTGACCTGGAACCCGCTCCCCCACCAGCGCAACGTGGCCGGGACGAGCTGCCCGTTGCTCAGTGATTTCGGGTGTAACGTCCCGGCGCCGGAGCCTCACCCGGCGAATAAGTTCCTCACCGATTGGTACGCCACGACGGATGGAGTCCCCGGCCCGGGGCTCCGGCTGTGCTGTCACGTGGGCTGCGGGAGACCCGAGTCCCGCCGGCACGAGTTCCGCCGCTGCTCCGTCTGCGGCGCCGTAAACTACTGCTCCCGCGCTTGCCAGGCGATGGATTGGAGGTCGCGCCACAAGTCGGAGTGCGTCCCGGCGGAGAGGTGGGGCGACGACGACGGTGAAAATGTCGCCGCGGCGGAGCCGGCGGAAGCGGTGGTTAATGGTAACGGCAACGGAGAAGCTAACGACTTGGAGATTGAGAACGAGATGGCGGTCAGTTAACGGTGACGGTAACGTGGGAAGGACTTCAATGCAAATAGACACCAGATTTTGGGAACAAAATTCAGTTAATAGATTTTCACGGTCAACATTTTGTTTTGTACATAGGAAGCAGAATGAAAGTAAGTTTTTTTTTTTTTTTTTTTTTTTTTTTCTTTAAAAAAAAAAATTAGCTCGATCGATAACCTTAAATTTAAGAAAATCAAGAAAACGAAATAGATTTCTTTAGAATTAATTCTTGTTGCGCATACGATATGATGATGCCTTGCCTTTGAGTTATCATTCGAAATAGGTGAATCTTCTTTATGTTGCCACCCGACCAAATGATCACTGATTCTTCAAAATTTCCGAAACATTAATTTTGATTCTGTTGTGTCACGTGAAACGTGGCACGCCAGCCAGCAATTTCAGTTCACTAAATTCCTTCGATTTTCAGAAACAATTTTATGGTTAAGAGATCAGTATGTTGTAGCAAATATTAGGTAATGAGTTTAGGCCAAGAACAAACCCACATTTTGCATCTCCATTGCCTTAACTTTAGGTTAAAGATTAAAAGAGAAAGATTCATTTCAAACTTAGATGTGAAAAAAGCATACAGAGTTTCATTCAAATTTTGAACCATAAAAGGAAAGTGTTATTCAGTTTATACAAGTTTTCAAAGTTTTAACATTGTTCCATTAAATAAAGTGAGGATCACTATGGGACAACCAATTTGACGAAGTAATCACAAAGTTTTATGTTCGATTCTTCGTGAGAATTATCTATTGATCTTCTTCATTTAAGTGAGTTAGTTAAATTGGATTATCTCTTTGCGGTTCTTTGCCGACTAGAGTCACAAGGTGGATTTCAGAGCACACTTTCAGAAGACTCTATGTGACGAGCTCTATCCTTACCTCCTTATGGTCTTTTGCCAGCTAGAATCATAAAACCAGCTTCACTCAACGGGCACCTTCAAAAGACTAATAATCGACAGAAAAGAAATTGACAATAATCGATCTCGTGGCCCCAAAACGGTACTAATCCAGTCGAATAATAACCGGGTCCATTCAATTAACAACTCTTTTAAAAGTATTATTATGTACACATTAATTTGAGCTTCCAACTTAGATATTTTGTCTTAATTATATGATTGTCTCGTCGAATTGAAGGGCAGATGAAACTAACAAGGGTATAGGTAAAGGGTTAAGTGAAGGAGAAGGGGATCCGAGGTTAAACATGATGAAGTGTGGGTGTTGATCAGATCACTATATATATATATCCTAGTTCATCATCTTGTATGATTACGAGGCTTTTTATGTTTTGTTGGAGGAATAAAGTCAGACAGAGTAGGAGATTGACCAAGAAAAAAGATGGTAAAGATTAATGGAATGGGCTATAAAAAGAGTGAGAGAAGTGGATGGGGAGAGAGACAAAAATATAATGCATTTTGGTAGTGGAGCCTAATGTGCAGTGGTTGGTTTTGGGAGGACTTAATTAGTTGAGAACCCATTTTATAAATTTTAAAAAAGAATTAGAAAAAAATGAGAAAATTGAAAGTGGAGAAGAAGGGGAACAACATGTTAAGCAATTAAAAGACATAACATGGTGGAAGCACTCATGCACATAGCTCCACACTTGGGCTCTTTCCTTTTTCTCATCAATGGTGTTGGTGAGCTTAGAGTTGCAAAATTATTAGTCAAAGCTAAATTAAGCACAACCATGGCCTATATGGGTCTCATTAGAACAATTTTTTCCAAAGCTCATTATATATTCTACTTTTTGTTTATCAAATTTTATGGGTTACATATGTCTTTTAACTGTAACAGTAATATTTAAATGAGATAATCTAAGGATTAATTAAAGTTTTGCTGGGGTGAGAAGAACCTTTAGGTTAGAACCCTTTAACCACTCCTGCCCCGGAAATTGATAGACGTGGTAAATCGTGAAATGTGTCTTAACTGGTCTACAAGTATTTTTTGGTTAGCGGTAGGATTCGAAGAACCTCTATTATATTACAACTAGTCAACTAATTCAAAATATGTTCAATAAATTTTGCTTTGCTATTAATTGTGGGGTGCACGATCCAAATCCTACCAATGACAAAAAACTGGAGGTACAAATTTGGCCTCAATTGGTCCACATGCCCCAAATGTTTGTACACTAGTACCCAGAACAAGGCTAAATTCATACATCCATTATATTTTTGGTCAGTGGTTAGATTTAAAGAACTTCTATTATATTATAATTGGTCAATCAACTCAAATATGTCCATAAACTTTGTTGTGTTAGTAACTATATAAGGTGCACGATTCAAATCTTACCAATGAGACGACACCACAAAGTGTCAAAATACATGTGAAATAGTGATAGGATTAGACTAAGAAAATATTGACAAGAATCAAACTTATGACTTTTAAGTTCAAAAATCATATTTCACCCACTTGATCATCTCTTTCAAGACAAGATTTAGTGATTTTTGTTAGTAAGAGAGGGCAGGGGCAGGGCCACTTAATTTAAAGCCAGTCTTGTTGGTTGAAGCTACAAACTAATGTGGTTGAAAAGGAGATCAGAGGACTAGAATATGATTCGCTATTTTTTCTGTCTAAACATTGAGAAACAATGAAATCAATCAATCTATATATGGTAACCACCCGAGATTTCTACATTTAGTTGTTGTTGTAAACCAAATCTCGTGACTTGATTAGATGTTTTCATATATTTAGTTTCCTCCATACATAGTACACTTAATCCTAGTCCAAAAATTCAACTTACATAAGACAATGTTGAATCTGTATTCCCATAACATCGTCTTGAATTGCATCATAGTTTGAACATAAACTTTACAGTTTTAGGTCAAGTTTTGTCAATACCACGTACTTGTTGGCCCATTTTGAAAGAGTCATGTACGATACTATAGATGTAAAACTCGATCATACTCTAGATAGACCTCTTCTAGATAGTCATTTTCTATCACACATTCTCTCAACAACATCAATAATCAAATAGAGACTTTAACTCTAACACAAAAATAGCTATATGAAAAATTGATTCTAACATAAGTACCACGTACTCTCTGGCCCATTCCTAAAAGAGTCAATGTGGATTATATATATCAAACTACATTGCTTAATGTTATTGAGTTAATATCTTAATTGACTCTTTGCACACGCATAAGGTCACTAATTTGTATGATTGTAACAATCTTGCTTGAGTGTCGATATTATTAGTTTTAATTTGATGGTTGAATAGTGGACTGAAGTATAAATTTTGTTGTTTTTATAAGAAAAACATTTTGTTTCAAGGAGTAACAAACATTTAGAAATATTTTTCCTTATGAATTTAAAACTTATTTAATTTTGAAATGATCAAACCCTAGTATAACTATGAATATAAGAAAAGTATCATCCAAACAACTAAAAAGAAAATTAAATAAAATCCACGAAAGGGGGCCGAGTAGTGGAGCATGTATGATTTTCCTATTTGAAAATCACGAGTTCGATTATTGTCAAAACCATAAACATAAAGAACCAATAACGCCTCCACTGATGCTCAAACTCACAACCTTTCAAATAAAAATCCAATCCGAGTACCATTAGACCAATAGTAGCTAGCTAGCATCTTCCAATTCTTACTTGTTCAACATTTTGCCTTTTATGTTCCTTTGACGCATTGTGATTGTAAGAATCGTTTATTCTATTCAGGAAGTAGAGCGAGTGTCACATCAATCCAAATGAATGCTAATTGTTTCACAATTTTAACCGTAGCAGTGGGAGTGTCACACCAGTCCAAATGAATGCTAACTGTTTCACAATTTTAACCGTAGCAGTGGGAGTGTCACACCAGTCCAAATGAATGCTAACTGTTTCACAATTTTAACCGTAGCAGTGGGAGTGTCACACCAGTCCAAATGAATGCTAACTGTTTCACAATTTTAACCATAGCACCAGTGGAAGTGTCACACCAGTCCAAATGAATGTTAACTGTTTCACAATTTTAACCGTTATTGCTACTGCTACCGCTATCCTTACCGCTCTGCGAAGTGGAGCTTCTAAATGGTTTAGATTTTATTTTTGTTAATAGGAATGTTTCCTAAATTTTACTCATTCTTGATGCAAAAATTCAATATAAAGAGTAGAAGCCAAAACCTAATCCTCAAAATATTCCATTGGCTAATAGATAAGACTAATGGTGGCGGGAAGACTAAGCGAGAAAGTTCTTAACGGTTAGCCTAACCGGGCCCATGACTAACGACCGTGTTTGAAGCAACCCAATATTTCAACCCATGGGCCCATTTATCACTGTTTCAGTCAAACAGCGTCACCAGTTTTAACGCGGTTAAGCAATAATGATTGATGGGCCTTTAACTCAATTTGAGAAGCCCATATAATGGGCCTTAACTTCAATTTAGAAAAGCCCAAATATGGGTAACTGAAAAGCCCATAGCCTACTACACATCATCGCCGTATCTGAAAGCTCTGTGATTTCCCGAGCTCCGCTCTAATCAGTCACAGTCGCAATCGTCATCGAAGAAGGTAAATATTTTCTTCTTCTTCTTCTTCTTCTTCTTCTTCTTCTTCTTCTTCTTCTTCGATAATTAGCTAACAGTTGTTTGATTATACGTAAATTAGATTCAGTTTCTGATTTTTATTTTTTTGAATTTGTGTTGAATTGCTCGATTGAAATAATAGGGTTTGCTGCATTTGTGAGGAGTTAATTTTGATCAGGAGAAAATGAAGTTTGTTATGGAATTCGCGGAGAACTTGATCCTGAGGATGATGGAGGATCCGAAGGAGAGGGATCGGAAGTTTAGAGAACATCTCTACACATTGAAGGATAAGTGCAACAAGACGAAGGAGATGTGGAACCTTCCTCTGCGTCCGTACGGTTTCTGGACTTTTGACCGTCACAACGCTCAGATCTTTTGGGATTCTAAGATCAGTCAAGCTCCAGGCCGCCGTGATCCCTACGATGACCTTATTCAGGACGCCCAAGGCTCATCTGCTCCTTCCTCTTCTAGCTCAACTGATAAGTGATTATGTGAGTTCCGGAATTTCTGATATGATAGGAATTACTATTAACTTACTCCTGTTTAAGAGGATAATTAAGGTGCCCTGTGGCAGCTAAATCTCTGTAATAATATCTATGCTAATGTGTGTCATTATTGTTTATTTGCTGCTCAGAAATGATTTGCTTTACAATGCAATATAGATATTGGTGGTGGTTAGCTGATATTCTTACAGTTCTCATGTCTAGAAAAGCATTTATCTATGAAGTTGTGTTGGCTTTCATCATTTTAAGGTAGATATGAAATTGTGTTTCTAGCTGCCATTCTGTGAATGTATCTGCACTTGGGTAGCATACTAGCATTAGCTATGTATTTTTGCTGTGAAAGTGGGAGATGATGCCAATAGAATAGAGAGCCAAGAGTTGATTGTTTTGAAAAAATTAGGAAGATTCTGATGAACGCCCAATAGAACCATGCTGCTTCATGAGTCAAGTAGGTATAGGAAAGCACAATGTATCCAGAGAAATCCAACTTTGTTGAGAAAATTTATTATAAGAGTTTGAGATTTTGGAATAAGGAGTTTAGGTTGACTCTTGAGGATGAGAGGCTTTATTTAGAGGACATGAAAATGAGGGAAGATTTGTTGGTTATGAAGTTGAGGAATTTGCTTTCTTCAGAATTGCCTGACACAATTTGTCAGTGACACCCAATGTATTTCAAGTTAGTTGCAACTGTATGAAGGCTAACTTTTAAGTTCAATAGGAAAATAGATGAAGATAACTGGAATATATAATTTGAATGTCTATGTGAGGCATAGCACATGTTGGGTGCCTTGTCCATATCCATCTCAACTGTTGAGAAAATCTGAACTCCTCTTGAAAATGAGTTAGGTAGTCAAAAAGAGTTCTTTTATGCATCATGAGGCACTAGATCTAATGAACAACACTACAGGCATGTTCCTCTTTCTCTCATGTACCAAACCTTAACCCAAAGAATCAGAGTTAGGTGATATATAGGGCGTGTCTCTGAACTAAACATATTCTTCTCATCCCTTAGCAATTTCTCTCAATTGATAATCAAATTTCTCTTTTCCAGTTCCCTTCCTGTTTTTCTGTTCTGCGAGCTCTGCGGTGGAGACAGCAAGCTCCGATCCCAACGAGTCAAGTCCGAACTTGGTATTTGTCTAGTTGCTACTTCCCTAAAATACTGTGGGTATCACCTAACAGTTTACCATCTCAGAATTCTGAAGGAAGCCCTAAATTAGTCTTCAAATGTACAATCTTCTTATCGGGAGACATCATCAGCAATTTTCCTCAACTTCATAACAATAAAATCCTCCCTCATTCATAATCTTCATTTTCCCCTTTACAAGACTCTGCCTTTGGAGCCAACTTAAACTTATGAATAAACCCCTTCCAATGTCTCAAACACTGCAGTAAATTTTCTCAACAACTTAATATATGCAAAGTTCAACTGCATTTTATTGTCTTTTATCATGAGTGAAAGATTTCAGGACCCAATTTCTTCACGACTCTCATATGCAGATGTTGAATTTCATACAGAATGCATTCTTATTTTATACAGAGTACCTTTCATTTGTTTCTTGTTCACTGTTCTTCATTTTTTAGTGGGTAGTGGCTAAGGAATGTTCGTGTTCTCTGAAGTTGAAATTTGACACTCACAAGTTGATCTTGTTTTACATGTAGGAAGACAAGTAGCAGCTAGCCAGATTGATTATGGGCTGGCTATTCATCGCTCGCAGGAAACATGATGGAGTCTTGGTTTTCTTCGTACATGGTGTAATGTTAGAGTTAGAATTGAATAAATTTTGTGCTGTGTACGGTTAAAGATGCAGTGATACACCTTCTCTAATGAGAAGGCAGCAACCCTCTACTCATTTTGATGTTGCATTTGAAATCCTCATGTTTGATTGTTGAAAACATTCTGTTGAATGCTATTATTCTAATTCATGTCTACTTGCAATTGTGGCTTCAGCTTTTCCCCCTGGTGGCAACAGAAGTGAGTAATTACCATTTACCAGTAACTGCATACTGCCTTAAGAATATATATATATATGAACCAAGCATCCATAAACTCACCAATGTCTAAGATTATAGTGTCTACTCATTGTGATAATGAAGTGCCATGGGGCTTCATCCTAACCTCCTATGTGATCCCAGTTCAGAAACAGAGAAAGAAAAGTAAACAGGTGAAACTCAGCCACCATACAGTCAATTCAAAATGCGGAAAACTGATAAACGTAAGGATATTGGATTGTCATTTGAGTGCATTGAAGTAGAAGTCTATCAAACAGAGCTTTGAACAGCTGAATCCCTGACAAGAGACGGGGCGTTGTTAGTATTGGCAACCCCAACCAGGGTATGGCCATGGAAATTGGTTGAAGACCGAGTACTCTGATGAGGCAAGCGGCAGGCCCTGAGGGATTGTATCTGCATGCAGCATTGTCTCAGCAGGAAAGTTGCTCTGATTCGCATGTCCAGCAGGGTTACCGTTGGAAACGGATATAGGTTCAAATGAGCTCTGGGAAGGAGTTGACAGAAGAGAGAGAGCACAAGCAAACTCCTGCATTGTGCATACATTTGAAGGGGGCATGGATACCTTCGCACCTGATAAAAGGTAAGGAAACAAAACTATCATATGTTAAAATCTTGCACATTATGTCACACTTAAGATAAACATGCCTACATAACAGATCGTTAGTCTAACAAAGCACGTTAAAGCAACACAAATATTTCTACTAACAATCTGCAGAAAGTAGAGTAAATAATCCAATAGCCTCGAAAAGGAAACTTTCAAGACTGAATCAACAGTTATAAGCAATAAAATTTATCTCCTTTCATGACACACAAGTAGAAAACAGTGATGGATCATGATAAGTCAGATGAACAATCTTAACAGCATCTGAAATTTAGACTGTTAAAAAATGGAGCTCCTAGCCTTGTATAAGTGGAAAACAAACCTTGACCGAAGTCTTCAGCGTTGGTGGCCTTGGATGTCAATGCCCAATTCCATGCATTACTGTGCAAACCGGTTGCATTTGGCAGCTGGATCCCCGATATGTATGGCTGCCTGTTTATGCTGGTAGTTTTTTCAGGCTCGGAAATGAACTCTTCGCTAATAGTGAACTTGGAGCTCCGAGTGTCCCAGCTCGAGTTTGCAGCAGTTTTTGAATGGACAACCGGGACTTGGTTCAGCACAAAATTCACTTGTAGCCTATCATCTGTAAATGCAGAAGTCACATCTGAAAAAATTGTGAGGTATGTTCTTGGCATACTCAAATCTACATATCAAAGATACGTGTATCAGACCGTAAAAGGATGAAGGCAGGCTTGTTGAGTTAAACTGGATCAAGTCTTGCCGTGGATTACGGCGTCTTGCATTGTGATCAGAAAGCCTCCGGCGACAGCTGCGCTTCTTATCGTCAAACTCTGACAAGCTATGGAACCTTCAATGACGGAAAACAAAAAATTTATTCTATGGGTAGATATAAGGGTATTTTGTCAAGTGGAATGCTTTGAAAAGACCTTACCGGCTACATTGTTGGCAAAATCGCCGTTCTACTCCTCCAACAATGACCTTCGGGCATTTGGAATGCTTTTCACAGACTCGATGCTTCTTATGATATTGTTTAGCAGACGAAAGGTCAAGATTGCAGCCCTCGACCTGACACCGTGAAATTTGTGAACCCCGAGAAGAAGATTTTGTTCTCTTCGACATGGGCGCAGATGACACTGGAGCAACGGAAGATAAGCTCTTAACATTGCCCCGTTCAAAATACGTCCTCTTACCAAGCTTCAGACCGATCAATGGTTCTACAGAGCCCACTAAGGTATCCCGAGGAGGAGATTTCTTCAGTGATATTGAGCCCTTGGTTGAATGTACTTGCCCGGGATCAGAGCCATAGACACCACTGCCACTGTCACTTCCACCGCCATCAAGCTCCCCCCCGTCTTCTACAATCTCCGAGTCTGTTAGTTGCAGCTTCTTTGGACTTTCACCGGGTTTCGAGCTTAACATGACCAGGCTTTCACAACCCCACCTCGCACTCCACTCCATCTAAAATTAACGATTATGCAACGGATACACTCAATCTAAAGGGAAAATAAGAGCACAGCTTGGTCAAATAACAGGCGGATAACATGAAATTAGATTACTTAAACTTCATTTATTTCATTCCCAAATGGGAATTATCAATTACAATATAACACAACTAGCCAAACTATATATATATACAGTAACTTTCTTGTTGTCTTTATTTTTTAATTTAACTATGATGGCCAGTTCATAATATGCATTTAACAGAGTACAACCCCCCACCCCACCCCCATTTTTTTTCTTATTATTTGCTAGAAATAAAGAAAACCAGAGACCCATTCTGGGACAGTTGGTTTCGGCTATGGTCCCCCCATCTAGGGTTTCATCGTAATCCATTCCAAAGAAGGAGAATAACTTTTCCTTCCTGAGAAGTACAACATTCCCGGGGGAAAATGCGAGATAGCGACACCGTTTAATCATTGTAAATGCTGCGAAAATAAAAACACCTTCCATAACCAAGCAACAGAACTCACAAAATGTCAAAGCAAAAAAAAAGGTTCCAAATTTCTGGGAACACTTTCCGGTAAAGGAAAGCTCCAAAACAGGAAACAATTAACAGAAAACTCGAACTCGAGTATATCCATGGAAACGATTCACTCAGATTACCTGAGGGTAATGATTTCAGAAGGGTAAACGAGCAGAGAGCAATGATCATGGGAAAAGACTTCTTTTTTTTTTACAGTAAAGGCAATGAAAGAGTGAAAGAAAGCTTACCTCCAGAGAGAAATGGAGTGAATAATATTTCAAGAAAGCTTTGTGGGTGTTTATCTTCGCTTCATAAGCAGACGAAGAAAGCTGAAATATAGAAAGAGAGAGAAGAGAGAGAGAGAGGGGTTGGGTGACTGGTTGTGGCGGGGCAGAGGTGGCAGTGGTAGTGGCGGACTGGCGGGGGGAGGGTGATGGGGTGCGTGTTGTGTGGATTATTGAACCAAATGGGACACGTGGATCACTTTTCCAGAACACACAATTTACAACCTCTGTAATCATTGCCTTCTTTACTTTGAATCAATTTTACTATTTTCGTCCCATTTTGTTTCTTTTGTTCCTTTTTTTTTTTTTTTTTTTTTTTTTAAATCAGTTTTATTAAATTATCAAGAAAAAATATCAAATTCATCATTTAAGTCTAACAAATAGTGAATTAGCACTCATATGAATAACTATAATTAATTTTTGAGTGGTAAATTATATATAAATAGTGGAATTAACTCTCTTAATTAAACTATAATGTACATAGAGTCTATGAACAATGGAATAGACAAGAGAAAGTAGAGATCTCTTCTTCATTGTATGTTTAGTACATATTCTAATCTAAAGAGAGAGAGAGTCTAGTGGAGAGGGGAGAGGAAATAACCCTTGAAGTGGAGGGCTAAGGCCCTATTTATAGGCTCAAGTGTGGGCGGGTTTGACTTTGACCTGTGGACCAGGACTCGAACCGTTTGACACTGACCCAACTACAAAACAAGAACACGAACGAACAGGAATCGAAACCGGAATATATATCCTATCAGGGAGGATTGAGAGGACAACAATGACTATTGGGTCATTCTTTAGGGAGTTATGGTTCTTTGCAGCTTTAGCAATTTCAGAAAGGTTCATTGTCAATCCAAACCTTACCATCTATTCGCCCAAGAAAAACTCGTCCTAAGATGTTTAAGAAGAAGGAAGGGTTGTTCCATTGGATCTTCAAATTGGGCCTAGGAGAAAGATTGGCATGCTGCTCTTGTGTGCAGTTTTTGCTGTTGTTTTTGTTTGGGTCTTGTATGTTGGCAATGTTGGGTTTCTTAGATTTTCAATTGCATTTAAATGGTTACCATTTTTGTTTGGTTGTTCTATGTTGGCAAAGATTGAGTTTCTTTACGCTGGTCGTGAAATGACTGTTCTATGTTTACCATTTTTGCAGGTGGTTCTTTCACTGGTTGTAAATAAAATAGGGTGAAAGAGAGTAAATTAACGACAAATATTGTAATTATCGAATTGTCCCCTATTTAATACTAATTGGACAGAATAACAAACGGATAAATACATTGGACAAAAACACAAAAGTTTGGGATTATAGGGTCACCAAAATTGTTTGGAGCAAAATCAAGAAAAATCACCCTAATCGGAGTAATCGATAACAATTTTAAAAACTTTCTTTTATTTTTAAAATTTATTTTCTAAAAAAACTTTTATTAAAAAAAATCACATCTCTAAATGAAGTCTTATTATTACCTTCATCCCTTTGAGATAAGGATGACAATGTGCCCCGTCTCCGACGGGGATGGGAAAATTTTTCGGAGAATGGGGACGGGGACGGAGAATATGTGTGGTTCCCCGCCGGGAACGGGGATACCCCTCCCCGCCCCGTCCCGTCCTCGTCCCCGAATAATTTTATATATATATATATATATCAACAATAAGAGAATTGCAGCATATATAGTACCAAACAAAGTAATATTTAATGTACTAGCCTACCAGGTACAAGCAATAAATCCGCATCTCCGCCTAATTTCCCGCGAGGACGAGAATGGAGAATATTTTCAATTCCCCTCCGAAGACAGGGATGGAAACGGAGTGGCAGGGAAGGAGACGGGAGTACACCCCCGCCCCCGCCTCGTCCCGTTGCCATCCTTTGAGAATGAAGATAATCACCTTTGTCCCTTTGAGAACAAAGGTAGCCCCCTTCAACAAATCTAGACCTCGTTGTGAAGTCTAGATATGGACAACCGGTGCATCTATCCATCAACATAAATAGTCACCCACATTCAAATCAATGGCAGGTGGTATTTTTAAAAAAATAAAAGAAATTTAAACTAAAATAAAAAAGAATTAATAAATTTTAATTAAGAAGTATTTTTTTTAATAAAAATAAAAATAAGAATACACATATGATCCACATAAGCATAGAATGTCTCATGTTAAACTAAGAGCATCCTTAGAGCATCCGCATCAGTTTGGGAAGAATGTGGGGATAGTGTAAGAGTGATTAGGAAAGAGAAGATGGGAGGAGAGAGAGAAAAAAAAAACTGAATTAAACAAAAAATAAATATGTAAGTCAGGCGCGCCTGACGCGCCACCGAGCGCGTGCAGTGCACGCGCCCGACTTATGGCCACGATATGCGCGAAACACGCACAACGTTTCTTTCTTTCATTTTTTTCTTTTTCTTTAATTTCTGACATTAGTTTGTATTTTGCAGGAGAATTATTTCATGAAATAACCCCACCCCACACTTGTAAATAACTCAACCCAAGTGATTTATTCTAACATTAACTCCATATTATTCATTGATGTGGTTGCTCTTATCCGTGGGGATATTAGTGGGGAGAATGTAAGAGTGATTAGGAAAGAGAATAATGTGGGAGGGGAGGAAAAAAAAATCAAAACTGATTATTTTAAAAAATAAGCATGTCAGAGTAATTTCTTTTCTCTATTGGTTCTCTCTCTTTCATCATTAATTCATTTTTCTTGGATAGAATAATATCCCAACCTTTGCAGATGCTCCCCACCCTTCTCTCTCTGCTACCATGGCGTTTTGGCCTCAAAAGGAGTGAATTCTCCCTCATTTCTCCTCTGATGTAGATGCTCTAAGCTAATTAGTGCTACACCATAAATAACCTGTTGAATATAGGTAATAATAAGATTTAATTGCATTGTTTTGCCGATTTAATGGGACTTATTGATTTTTTTAAAATATTTAAGTTATGAGTATAATTGCACTATTTGTTAGATTTAGGGGGACCAATTTGACACTTTTTAAAATTATCAATCAAAATTGGGTAATGGGTGGCCTTAGAACTATATTTGAAAAAATAGTGGCGAACAAAAGTTGAGAACCTTAACCCTAGTGTGAGAATAAAAGTTTGGAATAAAAAACGAGAATTCGTATAGTAATTTTCTGGAACAAATTAAATAATTTGAGCCCATAAACCCGCTCCCATCCATAAGAAATTCAAATTGTACACTTAATTACGCGCATAATGAATTGGATCCAACCCAGCTCTAGGGAGCCCGTCTCCAGCCCACACCTGAAGGGCTCAAACTCCATAAAATTGGGAGTAAAAAATAAGACTCCACATAATTTTTCCCGGACCCCATTAGCCCACCCCCAAGGTTCATGAGGAGGTCTATTTATATACTTTTGTGCACAAAGAGTAACCCGACTCTAGAGAGCCCAACCTCTCGCCCAAACTCCATAAAATTAGGAGTAAAACATATTTTTTTCTAGAGAAAACAATGCTTCTTGCCTATATTAACTGCATGCAGGAAGCAACTTGTAATTTAGGTGTACATTATACCATTATTTCAACGAAGTTTATGATGTCGAAGTCCAATATGTAAGCTTTTACATTTTTATATTAACTAACACACGAATTATGCATTACTAATTAACCTAAATAAATGACCATAGATTTGAAATCTCATACACAAAATCAAATTTCATTGTTATGCAGTCCATGAGGCTGTTGCCTACTTTATCTTTAATTTTTATTATTTTCTGCAGAAATTTTAGACAAATTAGAGTCAAAGTCGCCATAGATATACAGAAGTTGATCAACCAACAGAGTGTAGGGTAGACAACTATGTCTTCATTATATTCAACGACAATATTATGCAATCAAACAAAGCAATTCACCACATCGATCGTTGTTTCTATGGTCACGCGTTATGTGATTAAGCTGCATATGTCGCCATCCCAACCAAATCTCTTGTCCCATTTCAATTTTGCTTGCCCACAAATGTAAAAATTCCTTACTCCAAAGTTTTTATCACTCATTATACTATGAACTATAGTTCAATTTGTAAGATGGACGAATTGAATAATGTTTGTTTTTAGTATATTGAATATTTATTTTCAGTGTACATTGAATGTTCATTTTTTAAAAATTTAGTTTTAGTATGCTAACTATTTATCTTTTGATATATTATTCAAAAATGAACTTTTAATATATTAAAAATAAATTTTTAATGTACTAAAAGTCTAAAACTGAATATTTATTAATGATTTATGTTGCAATGTGGATCATGATCCATAGTATAAATTTGTCCGGTCTCCACACCATAGGCTAACAGGATAGTAGATGAGTAAATGTGAATTGCGGTGGCTCAATGATTCGTTAACTAGACTAGTACTAGGTGCTCACAAAAAGCCTACTAAATTATGTGAAACTGCCATTCTATCAGGGTTTGATCTTGTGTCATGCTCACAAATAGCCCGCCACACATTATGTGTAACTCCACAGTGTCAAGACTTGATTCTATGCCTACTATATTAGGTGTAACTCTCACACTGTAATTGTCAAGATTCAATTATGTGTCATTGTCTGATTGTCTACAATATATCACCCAGAAAACAATTGAGCGGTTATCCGGGACCCATTTCAATTTGTTGCACGTATCAATTCCAGGTAGAGCTGTAAGTCTGTAACTGAGTCGAGCAGCTCGCGAGCCGCTCGATCAACTTCGAGCTTGAGCGGAACTTGAGCTGGCTCGTTTCGTAATCGAACCGAGCTCAAGCTCAAATATTTTAACCTCGTGAGAGTCGTGGCTCCTCGAGCCGCTCACGAGCCATATATCAAAATTATAATCACGCGAGCCGCTTAGTCAAAATTCACCCCGAGCTCGACTTGGCTCGTTTACCCCCTAATTTCATGTCGTAAAAAAAGACCCATTTTTCAATGTTGAATGTAGAATTTGAGTGTGAGTTTCATAATTGAAAAGTAAAGATTACATTTTTTGATGTATTTTAAAGCTAGGCAATAAAATATGGTAAATAAATAAAGGTATGATGAATCCATGAGGGGTGGGTGGACAAAAGTTTGCGTATACGGTGAATGCTATTGAAGAGTCATGATCGAACTAACGGACCGTGCGACGTGTGGGAAAAGCAGCGCCCAATTATATACCCCATCGCACACGAACGCATAAATGAAAGCGCCACAAAAGTGCGGTAGAGGGCATGGAAGGATTGGCCATGCCGAGCCAAGTAAGCAACTCGAGCTTCTGCACCTTTACGGCGCTTCTTCTTCTTCATCTTCATCTTCATCTTCTTCTTCTTACCCCGTTTTTCAGCTTCAATCTCCACTGCTACAAAACCCCAGGTTTGTTCTTGCTTTCCCCCCCTTCTTTTCATCTTAGTTTCTGCTTAAATTTCCCATTTTCTTGAACTGTTTTTGTCAGTGTAAATGGTGGGATTTGATTTATCACACTTTGGAATGGTTTTGTTTGATTATTTCTGTAATTGGTGCACTGAAGCTCTGAAAGATTTCAACTTTGAGAGTTTAGGGGAAATATGTTTTGTGTATTGTGGGTGGGTGGGTGGGTGGAGGGTTTGCAGTTTGAGCAATTTGGGCATGGAGGTAGAGGGGTATTTGGGTGAATGTACATGTAGACTTGTAATTTCAGCCTTCTAGTTCTTATGGTATTTTCACTTTAAACAGTTGTTGAGTTGGTATGATAAAATTATGCCAGTGGGTACACATTTCTTCTTGGTTGGTTTTTCTACCAACCACCATTGTGTTTAAACTACTTATCACAATTGTATTTAGAAGTGCCATTTAAGTTCTTTCTAATGCCTGCTGAGTTGATGCCTTCTTTTTCTTTCCATTTATTCGATTATTTACTGAAATTTGTGCTTTTGGCTGACATTTCCATTAGTCCAGCCCGAAAGTTGGTGAGTGGTTTTCTAGTCAATAGCAGTGATCATAAGAGCTTAGGCTGATGTGAATAGCACCTTTTTGTTTTGCCGGTTTGTGTATTCTGCATTATTTGTCTTCCCCAATTCTTAGAGGCCTTCACATCCTTGTGTTTACTTAGGGTTCAAACATGATTTAAAACGCTAATCTATATGCTTTAGCCTAATGGTGAAATAGTTATATTAGCTGCCAAATGGATTGAAATCAAAGCTATAGTATAGTGTTTACTCCATAGCTCTGAAGATTTGTATTGCAAAAGTTATCTTTATGTTTAATTTGCTTGAGAATGGGAGGATGGATGGACAAACTTTTCGGAATTGGATCTGATGGAGGAAAGAAGTTCTCTTTATCGCCGTGTGTGAGTTTCTTCATTAAGACAGCTAAACAGTTTATCCATAGGCATTTTAAATACTTTGTTCCATTATGGCTCTTCTCCGTTTTATTGCCCTTCACTTGCTAAAAGTCCGTCTTGCAAAGACCCTACTCTTGCAAGAAAAATTGAAGAGAAAAGAACGAAGGACAATGAATACAAGAACACCACCACCCTGGGCCTCTTCCATTATCCCCTTAATCCATTCTGGGGTTGAGTTTCAGAGTAGAAATCTAAATATCTTGTCAAATGAACTGTTACTGTGTTTTTTTTTGTATTTTTCGAATACGTATGCATGGTTTAATCGATGTTTGTTTACTTTGCTCAATCAAGTGCTCATCATTTAACTTCTCTATTGTAATGTTCCATTGCGACTTATTTACAACTATTGTATTTAGGCGGATTGATTTGATTATCTAAATAGACTGCTTGTGCATTGTCTGCAGGTGGTGTTTTCTGAATCTTGATCATAGGTCTATTGAGGATAGTTGTTACGATCTAACCATGACTGCTGGAAAATCTGAGAATCTCAAAATGTTGGAACCCGGTAAGCCTCCGCCAAAAAAGAGAGCAAGGAAGGGGCGAAGTCGGGGAAAATCCACCGAGGTAATGGACCATCATATATGGAAAGAATTTCCAGAAGACCTGTTTGAAACTGTTGTGGCGAGGCTTCCTATTGCCACATTCTTCCGCTTTCGATCAGTCTGCCGAAAGTGGAATTCGATGCTTAATTCGCAGAGTTTCTCCCAGCAATGCGCTGAAGTTCTGCGACTGCATCCCTGGTTTTACACTCTCACTCGGGGAAACGTGAATACCGGAGCCATGTATGACCCGGTGTCGAAGAAATGGCATCACCCCATCATTCCCGCTTTCCTGAACAAGTTAATAGTCTTGCCGGTGGCTTCGGCCGGGGGCCTCGTCTGCTTTCTGGATTTCAGGCGTAGGAGCTTCTACGTGTGTAACCCGCTCACCAAGTCTTGTAGGGAGTTGCCGTCGTCGAGGCCGGTGAAGGTGTGGTCCCGCATGGCAGTCGGGATGAGCATGAACGAGAAATCCCGAGGGGGTGGTTACAAGATCCTGTGGGTGAACTGCGACGGGGAGTACGAAGTGTACGACTCGAGAGACGACCGTTGGAGTCCGGGCAGCGTGTCGTCGAACATCAAGCTCCCGCTGGCGCTCCCGCTCGCGCTGAACTGCGAATCCCAGACGGTCGCCCTCGGGAGCACGCTCTACTTCATGCATTCGGACCCGGACGGGATCCTGTCCTACGACATGGATACCGGGGAGTGGAAGCAGTACGTAATCCCGGTGCCCCTCCATCTGAGCGACCACATGCTGGCGGAGTGCGGGGGGCGGATCATACTCGTGGGGCTGCTGACGAAGAACGCGGCTGCTTGCGTGTGCATTTGGGAGCTGCAGAAGATGATGCTGTTGTGGAAGGAGGTTGACAGAATGCCAAATGTATGGTGCTTGGAGTTTTACGGGAAACAGGTTGGAATGTCGTGTTTGGGTAACAAAGGTTTGCTTATGTTGTCGCTGAGGTCTAGGCAAATGAACCGCTTGGTAACCTACGATTTCTCGACCAAGGAATGGGTGAAGGTCCCTGGTTGCGTGGTGCCGCCGGGGAGAAAGAGGCAATGGGTTGCTTCTGGCACTGCATTTTATCCATCTTTTACAGCTCTGCCTTAACTAATACCATTGCCCTGTTTCCTTTTGTTTTTTCTTTCTCATAATTATTACCCGAAAGTGTGTATTGAGTAAATGATTTTAACCAGCAAAAAGTGTACACTAGATATATCTTATCTTGGGATTTGGGACTTTAGCCAACAAATGATATGATCTTATAACTCTAGCCAACAAAGAAAGGATCTCATCTTATTACTCTAGCCAACAAAGAAGGTAAACCAACTGATGTATAGTATATACGGGCGTATACTACATGATACGGTGTTAGGGTCAGTTCCAGTTACATCCTTCTACCTAAAAAGTTTGAAATACTTCTGCTAAAATTAGCTTATGCTATTTCAAGAGTTTGCTGAGCTTCTAGTGAATCAATGTCACTACCCTTTTCTGCATCATTGACCAAAACAGTGACCGTGGGTCAGAGATTCCTGGATAGCATGTAGAAATAGTCAAAAGTCCCATCATTCAACAATTAATGCAGTATTTATAACAAGAAAAAGGAAACAGGCTCTGATCTGGCGACATGTATGACACGTGAAACCAATGCATAAACTTAGACCGGGATTCAAGGTGACTTGACCACGTGTTCTGATATTCCTGAGTCTGACTAGGTAGAGACGGAACATCTGTCATAACGCTCACATCTAATCGCCTATCAACTAGCTCGATCAAAAACTCATATCGAGAAGGCAAGCGTATTAGGTTGGTAGTGATCAGATCGAACCCTGCTAACTCTTGAGTCTAATACCAACCACAATATACATACGGTCGGCTGGAGAATAATCCCCATCACCAACCAAAGTTTCAAACCATAACATAATTTGCTGCCGACGTTTCAAACCAACCAACGTTTCAAACCATAACATAATTTGCTAACAAATCTTGTGATGCCAGTTAACAAAGAATCACAATCAAGTAAACCAACCATAAACAATTGTGTTTATTTCGTTACTTGAATGCCTTTAAATTGTAGTAAAAGCAAAGAAACCAACACAACTGAAACTTTATTATTTCTGAACTTATTAAATCATCATAGAAACAATACTAATAAAGGTATACTTTTGAGTGATACGTGTGTTTTTGTGGCAAAATTTTTTGTATAACATAACACTGTTGTGATTTAATTAGGTTTTTTTTTTTAATTAAAAAAAAAAAATTAAAACAACCAATAGTTGATTGTCTAATTAAGATCACGTAATTTGACAACCAATCACTTACAACATACCATGTCTCAAAAAATTTTACCACTTGAGAGTACTTTAAACTAAGAACATGGAAAAAGACACTAAAACAGGCAGCCATTCATTCTAGTTGTCTAAGTACGTCAAAACTAAGCCATTCCCCCGCTTGTTGCTGTCCGGATGATCTGGAATAGAGCTGGGAAGAAGAGAAAAAATGGTGTCACATAGATGCAGGTAGGTAAAAGTGGGAATATAACATGGTTTTCTGCATTTTACATGATTCTATTATAAGGAAGGTGAAGAAACTTACATGATCCGATGACAACAAAAACGAAGAACCCAAGCAAGATGGGTCCTACGGGATAGTTGTTTCCCTTCTTTGCAGTGGTCTCGGGGACAAATCCTCGCTTGGTGATGTTTTTCTCAAACTTCTCAACCTTCCTGCTAGCAAGACGCCTTGATGTTGTCTGGTTAAACAATAGATCGAACAAAGATTTGTGAGTTTATGCAGTGAAAAATCAAGAATATTTCTGCACCTTCATGCCAATTAGTATGAGCAATAACATCCATCCCATTAAAAACACACCAAGACAGGCAAAGAACATCTTCTGAACATGATGCAATGTATAACAAATCCCCACATAGGAAACAAGAGTATTTGGTAAATAGCTGTTAACTGATTTGGGATCATATTTGCTTAACATTTGATTATAAATATTGAAACTTATCTGCAAGTTTTCCAGCTAATCAAACTGGATTATTAAAAAAATCAACTAACCACAAAAATTGACACAGATCAAAGTTTTTATCTTATCAGGGAAAATGGCCAAACAAACTATTTGGGACGAGAATATACAATTGCATCCTCGAAGAGAAAAATTATTTGCATCAACACAAACTCAAAGAAAATTTGCAATTAGAAAACTTATTTGTTGGTTTAAAAACTTTTACTAAAAACAAAAGGACGGGACCATGGTCCTCGTTCCAGATCTGGGACGAGCCAGGGCACCCATGGATGAGGATGAAAGGTCCTCGTTCAGATCTGGGAAGGTCCGCGCCCATGGCTGCCAAGGAATCCCTGTTTAATCTGCAATTACTAGGATTGGACATCTTTTCGCCATAATTTGAGCACATCAGATCAAATCAAACACAAACACGCGAATAATGGGTAATATCCATGTCGTAGATTCAGCAAATATAACATCTATTACCCGATTCACGAACACGCATCTTAAATCACTTATATTCATCAACAGAATAATTAAAATTGACAAAAGATAATTCAGCCAAAATCAATCAATATGGCATGCCCCGCAAAATAATCAAACAATTATAAGCGCAATAGCCTAAAACGTAACATTATTGGAAAAGAGAACCAAGGATCCACACAATCGCAGGGAAATAAATGCACTGCAACTGAACAAAAAGCATTCTTCGACTAAAATTAACGGGAATGGAAGATATTTACCATGGTTTAATGGAAGATCGGGTGGGCGTAAAACAATTTGGACGGAAAACACCGGAGAATTTTCGTTTCAGCTGAGTACCTGCGATTCTCCGGCGACGAGGCGGTTTCTCTCTCTTCTCTCGCTCCGATCGTTTATAATTGTCGTGATGAATTGGGAGAGAGAGTTTAATTATAGCGATTTATAGAAGGGAAGAGGGAGAAAGAAGACAGAGTGCGAGTCCATGAAGAACGCGTCACAATCCTGCTGGGTCTCCACACGTAGTTTTGCCTACGTGTCGCTCAATGATTGGGTATTTCATATTTGAACACGTCGGACATTTTTAGAGACAAAGTCCAACTGGAGATCAGGGCAACGTAATATGTGAGAAGATGAAATATTAAATTAAAAAAAAAAATGGCATACAATATTTAATGAATTTCGAAATTTATAATATGGAGTATCTTATTTTTTAGATAAAGATATTGATGGGTTGGATGCATGTGAACTGGTATTCAATCTCAATTTGGATAGTCAGACCCAATATAGTATGAAATTTGGGAACAAATTATCTCATTTTTGGGAAATACAATTGGGAGATTCTTGGATGGATTTTAAGAGATCATTTTTCTTGAAGATTCTTTTTTTTTTTTTTTAATGTTTTAGAATATCAGTTACTCCGTAGTAATTAATACTCTTGATTTGACGGATTTATTTACTATATTTAGTCTGATGTATTGAGTGATTGATTAGGTCCAGTACAATATAGTTTGAAACTTAAGAAAGCAATATCTTCTTTAAAGGTGTCAATGTGAGACGGCTCGTCCTGCAGTGTTTTTTTGACGAGCCTGTGCGGGTCAGCCCATGGGCTAGGACTATACAATTGTAGCTCGCCTCATGCAAACTCGCATGCCAACTTCAACAATTTTATTTAAAAAAATTATTATATATTTTAATATTTTAACCTAAATATATTAGATTCTTCCATGTATAGAATTTTTTTATAAAAAAAAATCTAATTTTTTAATGTTTTGTGTGTGTATATATATATCCCCTCCGTCTCGAATTGGTCGTCACATTTTTAAAGGATTAAAGTAAATACTATGTGTTTTCCAATTATGCACATAACTTTCTCACTTTTGAAAATAAAAGTAATAAAGAAAGCAAAACTCATAAAGGATAAATTGAGAAAAGTAGAATAGTGGTGATGTTCAACTTTAGAAAGATGATAATATCTTGGGACAAACTAAAGAGGAAAATAAGACATGTAAAATTAGACATAAGAATATATTAGAAGCTTGCGGGTTAGCCCGTGAGACCTGCATTTTAATGGGCAAAAATTTGTAAACCCTAACCCGCCCAGACTTACGGGTTTAAGGCCGACCTGCATGTTTCACCTCACTTTAACACCCCTAAATCATTTATAGGAAGTACAACTGCGAGACCTTAGACCGATTTTATTATGAGATCATTTTTTTCTTATTATTTGGATACTGAATATCCACAAGGACCATGTTAGATACCCCTACATTACTACTCACAAACTTGTCACTCCTGATGTGTCAAGTTTTAATTGGTTGAGATTTAAAAATAAATAAATAAAAAATAAACCTATTAAAACTTGCCATATAAGAGAGTGGTAAGTTTGTGCATTTTTCTACCCATAATTGGAGAGACTTACTTTTCATATTATATTTAGTCCAAAATTGATAGAAGTAACCGCCATCAGGTTGTTATTCTTCCAAAAGGTTGCCATCAGGTTGTTATGATCACATGGTTTGCATGCCAAACAAAATTAAATATTATTTGCACGTAATACTAATTCAACATGTAAATTTAAAATAAAAACAATTACCTCATGCATCAAGAAATGAATTCAATACACTGATGGCTCAGTTAATTTTTAATTGTATATTGTAGGAAAGACACATGATCAAACATGCATTGATAATTAAAATATAAGAGTTCATTCAATATGGTGGACCCGTACTCTTTGTGCACACCGCACTAAGTATTAGTTCTCCCACCTAATGAGCCGTTAAGTAACGGTAATTTACTTACCTTCTACTAACTATCTTGTCGAACCGAAGTGTGGGGACTTGAAAGTGAGGAATTTCGCTTTAATGTGGACAAATAATAAACTCTATATATCAAGTAATGTGTTAAAAATAAATTCTTTTTTCTAATGTTTCAGCTCGTGTAACACGAGTACTATCATTATAGTTATTGTGGTCAATGTTTTTTGAATAAATTGTAATGAAATAAGTCAAAAATCATAGATATTCAGTTACATTTTTCAAATTTTTATAGGAAATTCAAGATTGAAGTTTGCATATGCTCACTAAAAAATCAAGATTTTTTTTTTTTATTTGCACTATAAAGAGTAGCATTCCCAAAGGTTGATATATATTGAGGATGCCACGCATGAAGAAATGTCTGCTGATTTATCGCTAGGAAATAAGAAGACTCAATATCCATTAGGGGAGTAAACGAATCGAATCAAGTCACATATTCATATTCGATTCGACCAGTTTATTCGAATATATTCGATTCGACTCGAATATTCGAATTCGAAATGCCTAACTTATTTTTGTACAAAATTCTCTAATAAATTAAGATAAAATGTAATAAAAATTATATTTAAATAACATAAAATATTCGAATACTATTCGAATCGAATACACTCTAATTCGTATTCGTACTCGAGAAATATTCGAATCGAAAAAGTATTCGAATTCGAATTCGTATTCAAAATTTTCGAATTCGAATCAACATATTCGAATTTGAATAACGAATCAGATTTTTTTTATTTGATTTGTTTACACCCCTAATATCCATTGTATATCCTAAGTATTAGGACTAAATGTTCATAATGTTATGTGAACTATGATCCATAATATAAATAAATTGTCTTATAAATAACTATATGGTATAAGAATTGATTAAAGAAAATAGTCCATAGTAATTAAATTCAACATTATAAACGTAATTATTCATAATATAAAACTACCTCTATAATAATATCTTATTTCCAAATTAGTTCGAGTCTAATATGATTAAAAATTATGAAAGAATTTTTCAAGCAGATCGAGTACCAAAAAGTAGAATAGATCAAATAATAGGAAAGTTATAGTTGTAGCATCAAAATTAATTAAAATAAGGTAAACTAAGAAAGACGGCATTTTGGCCGGAGCTCACATAGTATTGCAACCTCCGGCCGGATTCTGATCCCGGAAAAAGTTGTCGGTGGGCCCCACCTGATCAGGGCAGAAACCATATCCAGCCGGAGCCGGATGGGGATATCCATAAGCGTGCGGCGGCGGCGGCGGCATACCAAACTGTCCATAACTCGCCGGCGGCTGCGGCGGCGGCATACCAAACCGTCCATAACTCGCCGGCGGCGGCCCCCGGAACGCCCCCATTCGCGAACTGGGGTGGTTCCAAAACACGGAGCCATTATTCATACCAGGCGCCGCCATATTCGCCGATGTTCTTCCGTGTATCTCACAGAACTCATCCCTGCAGACACTCGCGTCCACCTTGGGAGGAGGCGGCGCCGCGTAGCCGTCGTGCATATAATGCTGCTGTTTCTTCTCCTTGGACGGATCGAAATTATCCTTAACACTCTCCTCAACATCATCATCATCATCATTATCATCATCACAACTGGCGCATGGAGCTTTCTGTTTTCCCTTGGCGTGACAAGATTTATCGTCAACAGAAGAAGTGGAGGGGTCTTTGGAGTAGGAAACGACGTCGGCTGCTTTGCCCATGTTCTTGATGCACTTAACCAGCACAGAAGGGTCGCATTTGCCTCTCACAGTTGCCCACTTCTTCCTTGAATCATAGTCCACCCAAACTACACCTATCATATCATATCCCAACCATAATAAATTGTAAATGAATGTTTATATTATAACATATTGAAAAATAGCTAGAACCCACAACTATTCATATGGGCAGTATTGCAAAAATCGTGCCTAAGTGCCTAGTTAGGGGCTAGGCAGTCGGCCTCCTAGGCGTTCCAGGTGCCCTAGGCGGTCCCCAAGTGCCTAGAGGGGCTTAGCGATTTTTTTCAACATTGCATATGAGAAAGCAATTTGATGACACTAGATAAAAAGGTTCTTGGCTCAAAAATGTTCTTAATATTACTAACCAGCTCGAACCCACAACTACCCATATGTGAGCAATTTGGTGTCACTAGATTACAAGGTTCTTGACTCAAAAATTTTCTTAATATTACTGTTTTAGTTAGTTAAGTCATCAATGTAAACCCTAATTTTTTCGCCAAAGTCACATCTATCATATCCTAACCATAACAATATATGAAATTAAAAGAACATTTTTAGATGTACATGCATACGTTAGTATCATGTTTTTTTTTTTTTTTAATTTATTTATTATTTTATACCGAACATAACTGCTCTTAGTAGGTATGATTTGTACAAAATTACCATTAAGCTTTAAAAGCTTCTTCTTCAATTTGACTTGACATGCTTGGCAACAATTCAAGTCCACTTTCAATACGCAAATCTGTGGAAATACGACCGACCATCAATATCATTATTATATAGCATATTACACATAATATGAAATTAAACATGATTTTTTTTTTTCAAAAAAAAAAAATGCTAAAACAAAGAAAAACATATACACGTACTGGATCACAAGATTTATGTTCCATCAGGATCGCCAGCTTGAACGCTTAAATAATCAACCAAAAATCTGCATAAGAACAAACCCTAGTTATTCAACCTAACAGCATTACTTTAAAAAATAATAATAATTTGTATGTGTATATATATAAGAGGTCGAGGTACAAGAATACAAGATTCACCTTATTAAATATATATGGAAGATTAATTAGTTTAGGTATATTTATATTTATGGAATATTATGAATGAAGTATTAATATTAATGTACTTCACTCATATAATTAAGATCTTGCATTAGTTATGGTAAGATTAGAGAAGCAATTTATGTTAACACTTCAATATTCCATAACTGAAGATGCTGTTTAAAATCTGAAATAGACGTGAAAAGTAATTTTTTATACTATTATATAGTACAAATTAAATGAAGCAAAATGACACATATGTCGATATGTCCGAGTGGTTAAGGAGACAGACTTGAAATCTGTTGGGCTTCGCCCGCGCAGGTTCGAACCCTGCTGTCGACGTTTAAGATTTTTAGCCTACAAGGCTACAACTACTTTATGTAACCTTTTTCTAAAAGTCAAGGCTGTCTATACTTAAGATGAGGCTAAGAATTTAAGTGGTAACACGATTGTTAATATTTTGAAAATGTTGTCATAGTCGGTTTAAAAATAATATTTTTTTAATTCCACTATTTACCCCAAAAAAATCACCCATCTATAATTAATATTCTTAAAAAAAAAAAAATTGAGACAAGTACAACTAAGATGTGAACTAAATAATTTTGTTTATAGTTACTTTTCATTATGAGTACTACGATCTGCCACCCAAATATTCAACCGGACAAGTTTATTGGACTTGCCCAAAGGTTAAATTCTCAAACTCAAAGGCATTTGGAAAGATGTAAATCACGATAACTCAGTGGTTCTACAGACAATCATGGTTGAAAAAATCTCTAGGTGTTACTCTGGCGTCTAGGCATCGATTAATCGACGCCCATATATTTTTTATTTTTTAAAAATATTTTTAAATTTTTACTTTAATAGTTAATAGTAAAATATTAAATATTAACCTACAAAATATATAGAGTTTGAATAATTTAGAGTTATTTCGCTCAAAACGATGTTGTTTTGAGTGAAATAACCGATTAAAAAAAAAATCGACCAACTATAAAACTTAGATGGTCAACGCCTAAGCGGTATAGACAGTGTTTAGACGACCTAGACAATTGCCTAGATCACCCATTATGATGATAGGTTAGGCGGCCGGCGGACGCCTAGTGCGGTTTTTACTACAGTACACAAAGTGCCAAATGTTTATTGGACTTTGATTGCATAGGAAAAAACACCTAACAAAGTGGGTAATTTTCTCTTTAAAAAAAAAAAAGTGGGTAATTATGAGTTAGGAATTTAGAAGTCCAGCAAATTAAGATTTTTTTTTTTTTTTTGGGGGGAAAATAAGCGTTGTCTCTACGCTATTAAATATAATCTTCAGAAAACTTAATGACATATTTGCCCTTCATCACTAGTTTAAAAGCCCTTCCATTTCGTCGTTCGGAGGCGTGAGTCGGAAAACACAGACGGCGGCGGTGGAGCGAAAATGGATCCAGACGCTCTAGCTAAAGCGTTCGTTGAACACTACTACTCCATGTTCGATTCCAACCGTGGGGCCCTCGGCAGCCTGTACCAGGACGCCTCCATGCTTACGTTCGAAGGCCAGAAGATCCAGGGCTCTCAGAACATCGTCGCCAAGCTCACTTCTCTCCCTTTCCAGCAATGCCAGCACGCGATCACTACCGTCGACTGCCAGCCCTCTGGTCCCGCCGGCGGCATGCTCGTCTTCGTCTCCGGCACCCTCCAACTCGCCGGCGAACAGCACGCCCTCAAGTTCAGCCAGGTCGTTAATTAATTCGAATTCAACTATATCTATATTCTTCTTCACTACTTAAACCTAGATGATTCTTCGTAATGATCTCGTGCTTTTTTGCTTAAAATTTTGTGATCCGCCTGTGTGCTTTTGAATTTGAAGCAGTAGATGCTTGTAAATTATCGTTAGGTAAAGGTTTTCAAAATTGGGGGAAAAACTGAGATAAGAGTTTAGATAATTGGATTATGGACAAGTGATTTCTACATAGAAACTTCTAATTGGATCATGAATTTGATTTCATTTAATTAAATGCTAATCGGGTACTGCGGATTCAAGTCATTATATGTAGGTAGAAATGTTGAATTTCAATTCAATGCCAGTCCTTAGGTTCCATCTAATAAGCGACTGTATTTCTATGGAGCTCTCAAATGGTTGATGTTATTAAGGGTTTAATGGATAACCATAGTTCCTTACTTCAAATAGCTCACTGTCAAGCTCGGAAAACTTATGTGATCAACATTTCCATGGAAAATTTCAAGTTGTCATTGAAGGGCTTGAAGGCTATTCGTTGTAATGAGCTAATAGTATATGCCACTATGGACTTGGGATTTAGTAATCTGGGCACCTGGTAAGGAAGTCCATGTGCATTAGTTTTGTATTGTGCATGCATAATTTGCTTTAGTTTTACTTGTATTTCAATATATATCTCAGCTATATAGCTATTAAGGCTAACTATCTTAGTGATCTTATTGGTTGTCATAGGATCTTATAGGCAGATTCTAGAATGGGATGATGGTTTTATGGATGATTTTGTTTATGTTGGTGTTGTCTCTTACTGTTATGTATTTCATTTGTTCCAGATGTTCCATTTGATGCCAACCCCTCAAGGAAGCTTTTATGTTTACAATGACATTTTCCGGTTGAATTATGCATAGGGGGGATCTTAAGATGTCCTGCAAAGATGTATAAATCAAGTGGGGCACCAATCAATTGAATTTGTTTGTTTGTTTCGAGTTTTAGACTTTAAGGTGTGAGATTTAGGAACTCAAGCTTGATCATCATCACTGGATTGCTCTGTTTTTCCAGGATTTTGAATGCTTCTTCTTCTTCTTCATACTATTATCAGTGTACCTCTGTAGTTCCATCTACTTTTAAAGGTCTTGCTTATGAAGTGCCATGAAACATTGTATGCATCTACTGCTGCTTGTATCTATTTGAAAAACTACAGTAATGGCATTTATATATATATTTGGTAGAAAACAACACAGTTGTCACACAATTGCAGGTGAAACAAAATCTTACAGTCATCATTTGCTCTGCTATTTTTGTTCAGTAGTGAAGTCTAGAGATTGCAGGTCCGGATAAGGGGAGGGGTGAAGCATCTTGCTTCTGTTTTCCGTTGGGCGGTTTTTCGTCGTCTTTAACCGGACCTTTGAATATTCCGGCGACGAAACCGCGCAACGATCGGAATGGATGGTTCAGTCCATCTTTGAGTTTGAGGATTAAAGACATCTCCGATAGCTGCCATGTTACAGTGAGAACTATCATAGCTGATACGAGGCAGTGGGTGAGGAAATTCTGTCTCTGAATTTTCTTCAGCTCTTTTATCACCCTGTCTTCTTCTTCTTCTTCTTCTTCTTTAAGCTCATGACCGGAAGGCGGCTCTGTAATCTCTTCTGAGTTAGTCTGCCATTGATGAAGGTTGAAGAGCCGCCTTGATTAACGGTGTAAAATGGTATATATATAATAATAACGTGACATTAATCAAGACGGAAAATCGAACCTAACGGGGTTGGTTACCTTCCGGTGATCAGGAGAGACGGTGGCGATATTGACGCCGCCGATGTTCCGATCGGATTCAAATGGCGGAATCAGCGGCGGAGCTTTTCCGTTGATCAATTTGTAGTCCTTCATAATCTTGTTGGCTTAATGGAAATTGTAGAAGAAGAGGAGGTGAAGACTGGAGGAGAGGAATCAGAAATATTATTATTAGCTTTATCTAACAGCTCCGGGGTGCTTCTAAACAACTTCCAATTTATTCCAGCGAAACAACGACGCCACCTCTCCCTTATTATTTTTTTAATATAATACATTCACGGATTCACCTTGGGTTATTAGTTTATTACAAATTACAAATTTCACTTTATCCTACTTTGATTCCATACCTTTTTTTTATTATGTATTTGATATTTTGATTGAACCGATCACGTGTTAAAGAACGGTTGATGGATCTTCCAGAAACTACAATAATATATCATAATCAAAATGAAATGACCAAGCGCTGATGTGTCCGTTTCACTTCAAACCGTATGTCGGCTCACCCAATCGGTGGGAGACGCACAATCTTCTCTCTTATTCTGAGTCTTTTGGTTTACAAGACTGTTGTTGTTGAGTAATTCAAACATTTTATGGTTTCTAACAAATATGTACGGAGTAATATTTTTGCTGTTTTTTAAATATTCATGATTCTTTACCTGGTAATATTTATTATATATTTTTTAAATATTTTTAAAGAATCTAAATTCACCACCGAAATTCAAATTTCAAATTTATATGACCTTATTTTTTAAATATTTTTAATCTAAAGAATCTAAATTCACCACTGAAATTCAAACTTTTCAAACTTATGACCACTCACTACATAGTAAGCCAATATGTAATCATATTAGTTTTGATTTTTTCGTATTAAATTTTATATTAGTTTATTTTACTCGATCAACTTATAAGTGTATTCACTCAAGTTCTAATTACCAAGAAATATTATTGATAAATATGAAAAAATAATAAATAGTGCCACAGTTGAATTGGAATATAAAATATCATTTCATTGATGACTAATAAAGGCCAACAGTTGAATAACATTTGGTACCAAGTGAATCTAGAATTGAGAATATGTACAATAGAACGAACTCCCATTGTTTACGGGCACTACATCTATATATAAATTTTTTTTTTTCAAAGCTAGTTATACCATCAGACATAAACAGCACACTCAAATTCCAAAAAATCAAAAGCCAATCCACATATATACAAGATAGCTCACCAGATCGAGTGTTCCTATTGTGAATGAACGAACTCGGTATGGAAGAATCTGCAGATACGCAACTCAGTAAAAACTGCTATAAGTCATCATTTTCCATATTAGACATGCTGTCATGAGAAGTTTTTGCGTCAGTTTCCGCACTTTGAAGCTTAGCCTGCCACATTGTCAAAAGGAAATGATATTGGAGGTGTGAAACAGAACAGTAGTCTTTATAAACTTAAGTTGGTGGTTTTGGTTACTAACCTTAGCTTGTCGGTATTTTTCAAGAATGCGACGGTACTGATTACGTGCCTCTTGAGATTCAACCATGGAGAGAACCCTGGAGACTGCCTCATCAATGGCAGCATCCACTTTCTGCTTGCGAAATACTCTCAGAATGGCTTCACCCTCACTTTCATCGATCTCTAGATGGAATCCTCGGAGACCAACTCCCCGCCTGCGCCACCTCAGTACTACCTTCTCTAGAATCCCGGTAGCCCAACATACCTTATATTCCTTTCTAACCTGATAGCCTCGTACATGAGCCTGCCACACATATCAGATTTCTCCATTAGAACACTGTATTTTAGGCTCTAGAATGATAGAAGCTGGAAAGGTTGTGCAGTGCCAGTAGGAGAAAGATCAATTGTATTTCTTTAGCCTTTTGCTTTAGTTATTTCTAAGTGAAAAATATAGGAGATATAAAGCATCAATGTTACTATGTTTACCTGTATCTTCACTACTTTCCGACGGAATGCAAGGAAGTCCTTCCGCCCTTTCCATCCTCGATATTTCTTTTGAATGACTAAAGCTGCAGAGTTGTAATTGCGTGAGTTACGAAATGATAGCTTTGATGCAGCTGAAAGACCTTGGATGTCGTTTAAGAGGATACTATATTCATCTCCGGTGGCAAAAGCAGCAGCTGCTGTTGCTTCGGCTTCTCTCTGCTGTCTCTTCCTGAAGGAATGTGCCCGGAATGCAGCTTGAATACGCGCAGCAGCTTGAGCAGCATTACGGGCTGCAGCTAATGTGTCATTCAGCGAAAGCTGATCCTCATTTGTTGTGGCACCTGTTTCAGAGATGCCTCCAATGGTTCTTTCTGCTTCCACCTCAGCAGCTCCTTTAGCAAGTTCGCTTTTTTCCAATGTAAGGGAGGAAAGATGGGTAGTGAGTGCCACTTCTGAAAGATAACCTGCAAGTCCTTTGTGTCCGTACAAAGCAGCAATATCTGCAGGGCTCTGACCAATAGGATCTTGTTTAGTAGCATCAGTAACTGCTCCAGCTGATGCACCAGATGCTATGAGTGCAGCAACCATTTTTTCCCTGTGTTACAGATAAGGAATTTGAATCAGATCAATAAATTGTGTGGATATTTGATTGAAACATTGTTATTAACAAATAGAACACGAAATGCTGTCCAAAGAAGAGCAATAATTCACTTACTTAAAAGCTGAGCAAATAAAAGTAATTCAAGTTCAAAGAAACAAAGACCAGTAATTACCTCCCAAACCGTGCAGCCCAGTGTAGAGCAGTCCAACCATTGATGTCGCGGAAATTAACTGTTACTCCAGCATCTAATATAGGTTGCAATGCCCACTCAAATCCCAACCCAGCAATCATGTGTATTACCCCTTGTTCTTTCCTGGACAAGACACAGTCTGAGTCTGAGAGATTAGTTTGTCCTTGCAATTTAGAAGAAAGCCACTGCTGCAACTTGTCTTTCAAAAGTTCCTGAAGAAGCCAATCAACTGTGAGACTTGATGTTGAATTGCCCACTAAAAGAGTGTCAATCATTTCACCCCATAATTCTTCACTTGCTTTGACTTTTTCCAAAAGTTTATTTCCTGATTCAGGACTATCTGTACTACACCTTGACCCGTCAGAGAGAAGCATCTTTGCAAATCTTACAAGCAACAATAGTTCTTCAGTATTCTTAATAGTGCATTGTGTTTCAGGCAGACAGCTCTCAGCAGTACCAGTGGACTTGACCCTGTATTCGAATTCCCTGCCCTCACTGCATGGTTCCTGGTTACCCATGGTAATGCAGAGAGTGACTTTATCGGGCAAGTGTGGAGGAGAATGACAACAGAGGACACCTTCTTGAATGATCTGGACAGGAACTTCGATGTCTCCAAACATACACTTCCATTCACTCTCTGATGGATCACAAAGAAAACATCCGATAATGATAACCTGCATTAAAGCCCTTAAAATGTTTAACTTCTAACTCCATATAACTGAAAATTAAACATCAAATAACATAGAAGATGCTCTTCAATTTAGTCATGAACACGAGTTAATCAACAATTTAATTTGAAAATTTCAAGTTTAGAATAGGTCACAAACAATAGGTCACAAAAAATCACCAATAGCAACAAGAAGTACTTTAATGCAGCTACCATTTCAAAACCATGGAAGAATAAATTCAAATGTAACAGGATAAATACCCGACAATATAAAAAAAAAAATGTGTTAAAAGAATTTACCTTTGTAGCCTCGTCAGCATATCCCCAGTTAGGAGATAAATCCGCAATTCTGAACTTCTGCTTTTGAGCAATAGAAATTCCATTCTGATCTTGGTCAAATAATGCATGGGATTGGTCAGGATTACTTCCATCAGTATTTATTTCCGGCCAAAATGTAGGATATCTGAAATCTCCATCAAAATTAAGCCATGAAACGCTTTCCGGTGTTTCCACTAGATCCCTTGCAAGCAGGATGTTCTGTCATAATACAGATGGTTTATTCAAAGGATAGAAATTAGAATTAGTGCAAGAAATAACAGAAAGGTAAAATCAGAAGTTTTAATCAGCTAGAAAACTGTATGGATATATTTTCATGCATCCACCCATAACCCTGTGCACCAACTAAACAATTCACCAACATAAGCACTTCATTTTGGGTAAATGGTGATATAAGATACTGCAAAGACACACACACACACACACACACACACACACACACACAAAAAAAAAAAAACAAAAACAAAAACAAAAAAAACAAAAAACAAAAACAAAAACTTTTAATTTTAACATATTCTTCCCACCTTCCCATCCACAGAACTCCCATATCCATCGTCCATGTTCCATAAATTAACTTCGTGCCCCAGAAGTTGATCACGGTACTCAGTTAGGTCACCTACAAATTCATGGCAATTAGCAGCATATTTTCAGTACAAGTGCTGCTTCTGCATATTATCAGAGCTCCATATTAAATTAAACAAAACATGACAGATAAAAAACATTAAAGCAACAGAAACCAAGTGTTTAAGGATGCCAATGTTCTAAGAGATCTAAACTTCAGTTTCAGTCTTTCAGATACATGTGTATGTATATTTCAACATTTTGAGATATAGAAGAAATGAAAAACCTGAACGTCGCTGCAACAGATCACAGTTTGAATCTTCTGGAATCTGATTAATTGAGTTATGAAGATCATCTCGGATATTGTCAACATGAGCTGAGTTCTCTATGGTGTTGTACAGTGGCACAATGCCATCATTCATGTATAACTCCTCCTCAATCCTTTTCAATACTTCACTTATTTCATGCGCAGATGGGCTACTATCCTCCTCTACTGTGCCACTTGAATGATTTGTCCCGTTACTGTTAGTGACAGGAAAAGAACTAATCTCCATAGATCCAGGACTAGAGTATGCTTCAAAAATTCCACCATTGGCTGCCGTATAGCTTGTATACTGAACAGGATATGGGCTGGGATTCTGATTGATGGTAGAAGACACTGGAGAAAGCTGCGGCACGGATAGGGTCTTCTGTCCTCCCTGTGATTCACAAGTAAAACAGATGGCATAAGCATTACCACTCAAGGAAACTGTAAAATATGAAAATTGGGAGACAGGTTTAACTAGATTCTATGCAAGAATGCGAATTGATTTCCTACAACAATGAATGGTATTTAGCAGCTGATGTCCTTTATATTTAGATTTAAAAAATTAGCAAAATAAAATGCAGCTATAGAAAATTTGAGAGCAACTGAAATCAGCATATAATGGAAAAAGAGAAGAGAAAAAAGGAAAAAGAAATAACTAGAGCTGACAGTATTTTACATGGAAGGAACAATGGTTGAAAACTTTTTTCAGGCAGCACTTAGAGGAATAGTGGCCAATTGGTTCACCACTTTTTATACCGGAATCTCAATTAAAAGTGATTGAAGAGTTTGTTTACTCAGTTTTATTACCTAGAACCAAATTTGAATCCGTATTCTATCACTCACTTTTGGTGAAAGTGGCCTCAAATCCCCCACTTTTGATGGAAAAAAAAAATTGGTTTTATTTTTTCAGAAGAGTGGTGGGGTTTTCGTACATCACACACACACATTTATTACTCTGTATATAAATATATAATATATTACTATTTATATATTTTGATTCCAATTCCAAGTTGTTCATATCCAGATAACAATATATTACCTAAACAGATATGATACTTTTATTAAAACCCATTCCAGTTTTTTATTCCAATTTCAATTCCCATGTATGAACCAAAAAAGACCCCTTAGATTGTTCTGAAATCAGGTAAAAGAATAATTACCTGACATATATCTCTATAGTGAACAAAAACAATGTGCTCATATGCCCTGCCCAGACAACAAAACAAGTTAAAAGAAAGTTCAGATGAAACCAGCAAACAACGAACTTATATAGCCACTAATTTCATTTGACTAAAGTTCATACAATATTACCAACAAAAAGCAGAAAGTTTTAAACAACCTGCTTTCTCCATTTGTCATCCATGTCCCCTATTGTCCTAGTGACAGGAATACTACTAAATCTTTTAATACCATTTTGTTAAGATAACTCATACAGATAATGAGCAAATATAGTAGATAACAGAATAAACTCACGGATCCAACATCCAATAGCTGCGCCTTTGAAATTTAGGATTCTGCTCTCCATGTGCATAATAACAATTGAGAGCTTCAACATTTCCTACCTAGCCACAGAGAAAACCGTCAAATAAAGCTCCTGCATGAAATGTGAAGTATGAACAAGACCCAATCAACCTCTACAAACATGTGTCAATATAATAATACCACAACATGATAATGAAGAGGCCTAGGCTGCAGATACAATTGTGTGAAATAACATCATTCATTGTCTACTAATGTTTTAGAAGCCTTACCTTAAGCCTTTCATGTGCTTCTCCCCCAGCTCTCCCATCTTTCTTCCTCCGCCACCTATGACCATCTTTACGGAAAAACCTTAATACTCTCTTGTTGAAGAGAAACAAAGAGCCACCTGTTAACAGCAAAGGCATGACAATATGGGAAGATAAGGGACTAACATTGATGTCATTAATGCAATATTGCAGACTTGAGGATAAGAAAGTTAAATTTGCAGAAGTAGAAAGAAGTTTAGAACACTACTTGGAGGCTTTTCAGGGGGCACATGGGTGATCTGGAGGTTCTCATGATTCTGTAATATGGAGAGCACTTCAGCAGGTTTCAGCCACCTATTTTTAGCCTCGCGAACTAAATCATCATAATTAAATCCTGAAATGTGTATATAATAGCTGTGACATAATATTATGAAGGCATAGACACTAGTTCAATATAATCCCATAGAAAGAAACATGCCAAACATTTCCAATGATGCAATTAGAGTGTAAATGTGAAGAATGCTTAGGGTGTGTTTGGTTCGCACATAGGAATCGGAATCGGAATGGGTATCAAATACTTGGTAATGGTAATGGGTTTTGGTGAAAGTATTTAACATGTTTGGTAGTAGGGTGGAATGGGAATGGTTACTAATAGTAGTGCTTGAAAATGAATAAGGGAATGAAACCCTTATTGTATTTGGGTATGAGTTTTTCAATTGATGGGGTATTCGAAATCCATAGTAGTGTTCTAAAAACCTATCAACCAAACAACAACAATCACTTTCATACCCATTCCTATGGACAAAACCCACCAGCCAAACACACCCTTAGTTTTATTGCATCATAAAGTTTCACAAGTGAAAATCATAGATGCAAATTTGTCTCTAAGAGGTGACATAACTTGAGATGGATTCTCCAACCAAAACATTACTGATTACACTCTTCCGCCTTTCAAAAATCACTGTATGTTTCATAGAATGCCAACCCAGAGATCTATCCCCATGACTCACTCATAAGAATGTCAAAGTTTCCCCATCATCACTATTTGCAAAAAGCCTCAAACCCACTATTTTTCGTGTTGCCATTTCCACACAAAAAATGACTCATTCCTAGCATCCTAGAGCTCTAATGGGGATACAATTTAAACATGATGTTTAACTACCTAAATAGCCAGTTTCCTTCCATCCAACTAAAATACACAAGTATTTAATACATGAAGGTTTAATGAATACGTCACATTGATGATCACGTGCATCAAATCCTAAATGGATGATTAGAATTCCATTGTTCGATCAAATCCTGCAGTTCTACTTCACCAGTTGCCACAAACCACACGAATGCGGCACCACCAGTCCGCTAATTTAGTACCACGAAAGCAAACTAATAACACTTTCTCTAAGAAAAAATAAACAAATTAAAACATCGCGAGCAATCAAACTCCACCAATTCATAAAAACACGATTACTGATATTAAAAGGTAAAAACAGAAAAATTCTATTTACCTGATTCTGTCATCGCAAGCATATCAATCAAACGAAACCTCTCCGTTCTCGTTCATCCGAATTGAGCCTCGATTCGACGCCGCCAACCACGAAACGGCGGTGTGATCCAGCGTGCACACAAGCTCCTCCACCGGAGCCGGAAAATTGAGCTCCGAACTTCAAAACTTCCACTCCGATAGGAAAACTAATTAGACACAGAATCATAAACACTGACACACGCACACATATATAGTGTACGAGAGCGAAAGAGTGATGAAGCAGAGGATTCTGGAGTCAGAGAGAATGGCGCGTCTGCGAGGTTTGAAGTCGAAATATTGCTTCCGAGCCTGCAAAACATGCCGAAGGAAACACAGAGGAAGGCGATGGGTCCACAGGGACTTGACCCCTGCTTAAACGGTAAGAGTGACGGATAGACAGTAAGGATAACGCAATTCAACGTGTCAAGGTTTTATTGGCTACGACTGGTAATTAAATTGCGGTTATGACGGCAGTGCCCGCGTAATCAAACGGAATGGCCGATCATTACTGTCCTAGAATTTCAGCAGCGGCACACTGAGATAATGATGAGAAAAAACAAATAATCAAAAGTTTCTATTATTGGTAACTTTTACAGTAAAATTTGAAAACGCGTTTATATTACGGGAAATACTTGGTGCACTCTCATTTTATATTTTTAATTTGTATTTTTTGATATAGACATTTTTTATAGACTCACATGATGAAAATAACAAATCATAATTTGCCATCTCAAGAGTACAAATGAAGGAGTATAATTTAGAAATGCATGTAATAGAACCCTTATATCACTTATATATGAGATTTAGAAAATGATTATCAATCTTTTTTAGTTTATTATTATTATTATTATTTTCACCCGCGGGTTCCACGAAATGGATTTTTATAATATTTTAAAAATAATAATAATAATAATTTTAAAACTAAATTATTTCCAAATTGTTATTTATAATTAGAAAATAATTTAAGAATGCGTATAAATAAAATAATAAACTAATTTATCAAGCATTTTTCTACAAACTGCCAATACAATCAACTTGTTAACATAGCTAATAAAATTAAGGGTGTGTTTGGTTCGCATATGGGAATCGGAATGTGTATCAAATACTTGGTAATGGTGTAATGGATTTTGGTGAAAGTATTTAACATGTTTGGTAGTAGGGTGGAATGAGAATTGTTACTAATAGAAGTGCTTGAGAAAGAATAAGGGAATGAGACCCTTATTTTATTTGGGTATGAATTTTGCAATTGATGGGGTATTTGAAACTCATAGTAATGTTCTAAAAACCTATCAACCAAACAATAACAATCACTTACATACCCATTCTTATGGGCAAAACCCATCAACCAAACACACCCTAAGTATTATCTATTAGCAAATATAATTACCTATCAACTAATTAACAAACACCTCCGCCCATGATATTTAATTAACTATGCAAGTTTAGTAAATTATGTCGTGTACTATTAACACTAGTATCAAGCATATTAAAAACAATTCATGTTTACAACAAGTATAACATAATGTCCATGTTGATTGACATTTTAAAATTTTCGTTTATTATAATATCATTCCAAGAAGAATAATGTTAATTACTTCCCCTCTTGATATGACAATAAAATTATTTTTTATTAGCTATCGTAAATTGGTTGGTCTCACTTAGCTTTACAAGAAAAAGAAAAAAAGAATTTAGTGATTAATCTAATATGAAAATAATTCATTATATATTGGCATGCAAGAAGGTGAATACTATGAGGTAAAATCCAGAATGAAATATAACATTACTCTTCTAAGAAAATTAATTTTACGGTATCTTCTTTATCTTTATATCTTTATATATAATCTTTATCTTTATAACATTACTCTTCTAAGCAGAATCTAGCCACAAAATTTTCCCTCCAAAGTATGAATGCATTTTGATAGAAACAAGATTAGCAAGTATGAATGCATTAATTGTGGTTGTTTGTTTGTTTGTATTAAATAAAACATATATTAATGTTTGTTTGTTTTTTTAAATAAATCTATAAGTACATATTTATGTACATATACATTATAATAAATATCATATTACTATTGTAAGTACATAAATTTACTATTATGAATTTATAAGTTCACTAACATAAATTTACTATTGTTTATGTCATGTATATATACTTGCAGTATTTTTCTTTTTAATGTATATGGGGCTTATCATACCAATCATTATATTATGAACCATGGTTCATCATGTAAGACTGATCACTGACATAAGGTACATTTTTAATATACTAAATGTTTATTTTTAATACATTGAATATTCATTGTTTGAAAGTATATTATTTGTGTACGAAAAATTTCTTATTTAATATATTACTTCGTATAAAATAATGATATCCAGTACATAAATAATAAACATTCAATATATTAAAAATAAGCATTTATTCATTTTCCACATTACAATGTAATACATGATGGACCATTATTTACGATATAATTTGATGTGACACGGAATTCATAGTCATAGTTTCCACAAAATAATTGTAATTTTAGTCAAATTTGTTGGAACTTTTCAAACTTAATCATTTTTCAAAATGTTGAATTCCAACTCTAAGGGGGCGTTTGGTTCAGGTTATATAACATAACCAAGGGAATGTGACATTCTAAAGCCTACATTCCTATGTTTGGTTCACATTATCTCAGGGAATCTAATATTCCCCAGGAATATCACATTCCCTCCACATAGGATTTTGAAGGGAATGTGATTCCCTTCAAATTCTAAGGTTATGTAAGATAACCTTGGTTATGTTAGTTTATCTCTCTCTCTCTCACACACACACATATATATATAATTATTTTTGTAATTATATATTTTTTATTTTTATTATGTTAGGTTAGCATATAAAATAATTTTGTTTCTCAAGTTCAATATTTTAGTTAATATTTTAAAATCATGTAATTATATATGATATCGTTATCTTATTTATTTATTTTAATTTTTAAATTTATTAAAATATATGAAAAAATGTTAAGGATATTATAGCGTGTGAATACAAGATAACCCTAAACCAAACATGATTATATTACATACCCCAATTTTAACCAAACACAGGAATCTAACATTCTCAGTAATCTAACATTCCCAGCAATCTAACATTCCTAAGGTAATCTGACATTCCGTGAACCAAACGACCCCTAAAGGCCTTACCCGGCCCGACAGAGAATTTGGGAGGATGTAAATCATGGTAACTCAATTGAATATGAACCACAGAGGTTAGACCTTTGCTTATTGCGCACAATGAGCCCCTCTCACTTTAAGACATTGCTCCCATACTATCGCTGGTGAGACATTTTCATAAGATTGAAGAACCTAACTATTGACATTTTCATAAGATTTAAGGAGTGTTTGGTTGGATGAAAAATATTTTTTATAATTTTTTTTTTAAAGTGGAGGAAAATAATATTTTATGTTATTTGGTTGGATGAATCGAAAAACTTTTTTTATTAGAAAAAAGTTGAATGGAATTTAAATTCCCTACTTTCTTTTTTTATTACAAGGAAGGGGTATCCAAAATACTAATCACCTTTATTAAGTCTTGAACCTATCATCTCCAACTTAAGAGAATAAATAGATACCATTAGACCACAAACTCCTTGGTTAAATTCCTTACTTTATTCTTATCTTATTCTTTTTTTACGGAATTATAATTCATTTCTTTCTAATCCTCTCTCTCCAATCAAATACTTCGTAATATTCATAAATACTAAACTAAATGTACAATATATATATATATATATATATATATATATATATATATAATGTTTATAACATTCTTCTATATGTTCATATAAACAAAGTTTAATGTATATAAACATCATACTATTGACACATCATGTAAAAAAAAAAAATGTGATAGCAAAAGAAAAGAAAGAAAGAAAATGTAAATTAAGGTAGGCAAATGGGTCGGTTGTAGAGTATCCAAGTAACCTCACCTGCTGTTCCTCCGACCAAAGGTTTGTTTGTACTGTACTGCCTACTTCAGAGTTCAGACATCTGCACATGAGACCCACCATGTGTTTGTTATAAATCCCACTCCATTATTACCTTAAACGTACGAGAGTTCGTTGTCGCAATAATAATACCATTTGATAGATAGATTAAGCAGATAATTAATAATTAAGTATAATGGCAGCAGACTGGGGCCCGGTGTTTGTGGCGGTGATGCTGTTCGTGCTGCTCTCGCCGGGGCTGCTTTTCCAGCTGCCCGGCCGCCGCCGCTGCGTGGAGTTCGGCAACTTTCAGACCAGCGGAGTGGCGGTTTTGGTGCATGCTTTGCTCTATTTTGCTCTGGTTTCCGTCTTCTTCCTCGCCGTTAAAGTCCATCTCTACCTACATTAATTACTTCATTTACCTAGCTCTACCTACCTCGTCGCTATCAACATTCATGTTTTGTGTGTACTTTATTTCCCTAGTTGGATTGCTTCTCTTCGATATCTCCATTCCATGTCAGAAGGAAGTGTCTTGTCAATTGTTATTTGTTAGTTTTTTTTTTTTTTTTGAAAATTGTTATTTGTTAGTTGGGAATTGAATTTGGGTCTCATCTATAATATTAAGCTTGATATTATTGACTTTCAATTCTTAAATTATGATTTTTATGTAAAATTCTATCTAGATCAAATGTTTATATCCACTAGTTACATATGAATTAAAAGATTCGTACTCAAATTGATAAAATGATATCACAAAAGATGATACCAAATTTGGTGAAGAAAAAATGTATTGATATGATATAATAATAAAACTCTTTATATTCATTAATTCCTCATGAATTTGTCAACTCTTTCACAAATTTAAAAAGAAATTCACGAAAAATGGTGATGGAATGTGTGGAGAATTACGCTCATATTTAAATAATTGTGAGACGCAACGCATAACATCTTTCTAGTATAATTTAGGGTTTCATTTGTAGCCCCCAAAAAAACAAGAATTCGCTTAGTTATCAACTACTTAAACAATAGCTAATCAGATAATTTAATAATTAGATGTGAATATTATAAGGTAAATTCAAAGAATAAATTTCATTTTTGGTCCTCTGACTATTATATATGATTCACATTTCGTCATTGGTTATTAAAAATTTATATTTAAGTGCATGACTATATAATTTATATCACATTTAATTCTGCTGTCCAATTTCCCAGTCAACTATTACTGAAAGTGCTTCTTCCAAAAGCGCTCATTCCGAAAGAAGCAAATGCAATGCTCCTTTCAAAAGTGCGTGCACTTTCGACAATAGTTGGCCGAACAATTAGATGGCAGAATCAAATGTGATACAAATTATATATTTATGTAGCTAATTAGAA